GGGAAATGAGAAGATTATAGTATTTAAATAGGATGACCAAAGATAAAGTATACTTTATTGAGCAATGACTTGAAAACAGTGAGGAAGTTAGCCAAGCTTTGGGAGAAGAACCCTGTAGTCAAAAGGACAGAAAAGGAATGGCATGGAATGTTCAAAAATAACAAAAAGTATGGCTAGAGCAGAATGACTGAAGGGGAGATTAGTAGGAGAAGAAGTCAGGGAGATCACTGAGGACCAGATCGGATAGAATGAAAGAGTTCTGAGAAGAGAAGCAAGGTGTTCTGACCTGCATTTTAAAAGGACTACTATGCTATTTTGAGAACACTGTAGCTTGGCAAGGGTAAAAGAGAACAATTAGAAGGTTATTGGAGTAATCTAGGCAAGACACTACAGATGGTCCAGATCAAAATGGTAGTAGAGTTGGTGGTGAGAAGTGGACAAATTCTGAATATATTTGGAAGGTAGTACCAGTAAGGTTTCCTAACAAATTGGACAGGGTGTGTGAGAGAGAGACAGGAGTGGAGGATGATATCCCATTTTTGTTCTTTGGTCTGATCAAGTAGTTTCCATCAACCAAGATGAGAAGACTAGAGGTAGAACATGTGTGGGAAGAAGTTAGGGAGTTCATGTTGAATATGTTGAGTCTGATATATCTGTCAGACTGTCAAGTGGAGATACTGAATTGGAAATGTGACTCCAAAATTGGGGAAAAAGTCTAAACTAGAGACACATATTTGGAAACCATCACCATATAGAAAGAAATTATCCACCAAAACTTTAACAGTGCTTTGATCCAGTAATTCTTCTCCTAGATAAATTAACAGAATATTGGAATAGTTTTACAGAGATGAAAGCATAAATTTTGTTTGAAATAGACACAAATCAAAAAATCCAAATCTTATCAAAAGGGAATAGCTAAAGAAATAATGTTGATATATTCAAACTAGAAAACCCTCTGAAGTAGTTAAAAGGAACAAGTTTTATCTATACGGTCTGGTAGGAAGAGACCCAAGATGTATTATTAAATGAAAAAAACAACATGAACAATACACATAGTGTGATCCTGAATTTATGTTAAAAACAAAGTAGCAAACCAATACATCAATGAGATAAGAATGAGACAGATGCACAGAATGGAGAGATGTCGATGAAAGGAACTTTTCACCTTTTTACACTGTGTAAGTCTATATTGATTGAATTTTTATGAGTTCATTTATGCATTATTGGTGTAAACAAATTTAAACTTAGAAAACATGACAGTACAAATAAATTCCTCTACAGAAAATTTGAAAAAATAAAACCCACACAAAGACCAGTCATTTTTCTAATGATTTAACTTAAAAAAAAAAATCCTCTAAAGAACTTTTGTAATTTTTTGTAACCACATTTGAGTTTTAATTTCAAATAATAATCATTCTATGATTTTAAGATGTTTAACAATACATATTCATACATTCATCTGACTTACTTCTTTCTGGAATCTCTCTAATGTAAGTTTTCTCTGCATTTGGTCTTGCACCCAAGGATCAGCTGCATATTCAGATTCTAGAAGAGAAGTCCAACAATTTGCTGCATCTCTCTTTGTCTTTGTAAGAACAATACGGACCATTTTTCTGTCCTCTAAACAAACAAAAATCACAAATATATTAGAGTTCATCATTAAATTTTATATTTTCAAAAATCATTAGGTAATATTGACATACAATTATTTTCAATGCATTTCTATCACTATTCTCTTCCAAAGCTGCAAAGACAAAGGACCTAATACAACAGAGGGAAACATACTAGGTTCCAAGACAAAATTAATTTTTGAAAAAAGATTCCAAGAATTATAGATTACCCTTACCCAAAGTCCATGTTCCCTCATCAGCTATTGTAGAATCAAAGAGCTTGCCCTGAAAAATAAACATATAAGGTACTAAAATCATATTTCATTAATTTTTATAATGCTTTCATGATTTAAGACTTTCCTAATTTCCTATCTAATCCACATGTAATTGTCTAGTTTGGTTATAGTAAGGAGATAAAATTTTATACCATTTCTTTTTTTTTTTTTTTTTTTAAGATTTTATTTGACAGAGAGAGACACAGCGAGAGAGGGAACACAAGCAGGGGGAGTGGGAGAGGGAGAAGCAGGCTTCCCACCGAGCAGGGAGCCCGATGCGGGGCTCAATCCCAGGACCCTGGGACCATGACCTGAGCCGAAGGCAGACACTTAATGACTGAGCCACCCAGGCGCCCCTATACCATTTCAACATATTGGTAGGTGCTCAACCCTATCTTTCCTCCTAGAAAGTGAAATGGAACCTAGTTTACATTGCTTGAAATATTTATTATGACAAAGAACACAGGGCTCTCTAAAGAAAGATCAGGGCTCCATATTTTAGAAGATGAATAAATATTACTGATCACTGAGCCAAATGTGAAATTAATATCTGAAATGCTTTATCTTTACCAGTTGAAATGAACTACAAGAAGAGCTTTCCTGCTGAAATTAAAAAATGATATCTCTTAAAATAAACTTTAAAAAACTGGTTCAGGGGCACCTGGGTGGCTCAGTCGTTAAGCGTCTGCCTTTGGCTCATGTCATGATCTCAGGGTCCTGGGATCGAGTCCCACATCGGGCTCCCTGGTCCGCGGGAAGCCTGCTTCTCTCTCCCACTCCCCCTGCTTGTGTTCCCTCTCTCACTTTCTGTCAAATAAATCAATAAAATCTTTAAATTAAAAAAAAAATGGTTCAATCTCTTTGTTGGGCAATGTAGCATCAAAAAAATTGTAAAGCACGTACTATATAGTTCTGATACAGATTAGCTGTGACTGATTTTTCAGAAACTGTTCTTTTAAGAAAGAAATCAGCAAACATAAGTTTAAAAGAGAATGCACCTGCTCAAATCCATTTTGATTTGTTGCTACTTGTCAAATTTAAGTTTTAGGAAATGAAATTAAAAGGTCACGTAAAAAGAGAAAACATTTTTTCAGTATGTCAATAATAGTGAGAAAAAACTCTACGGGTCTAAAATGTATACCTAAAATCCTAAAGTTAAAGTTACTGTTAAATTCCCAAAGTCATTGGAATTACTAAAGGAAATATGAATTGTAATCTTAAACCACTGTTCAGGAAACTATGAATTATACAACTATCCAGAAAACTCAGTAAGATCCAAGCTGACATAAATCAATGTCTTTCACATGAATCTTTCTTTTCTCTGAGGCACTTAGAACATTTCCATATAAATAATAGCTAACATGTAGTCTACACTCGTTACATACTAGACACAATTCCAAGCTCTTAATTCCCCTGGATACCATGTTATGCTCAAAACAATCCTATCAGAAAGTTACTACAATTACCATACTTTGTGGGTGAAGGCATAGAGACACTGAATAATCTCTTGCCCAAGGTTACAAAATTATAAAAATGGCATAGTCAGGTATCCTACAATAAGGAATCTCCCTTCACCACTTCATTACACTGTCATCAAACATCTTGAGCATCTAATCTGGGAAAGAAATCTAACTTCAAAGTAACTGAATTTAACTATAAAGCTTATCAAGGAAAAAGCGGCTCCCAGATCCAACGGACATGATGAGAATAAAAGGGGTATTATTTTCTTCAAACAACTCTCGACTACCTGCTTAACCACTCCACAAACATGCAGAATTTTTCTGTTTGATGAAAAAATAAATCACCTGACATCATCTCTGAATCCTCATCCCGATATCCTTATCCTTTATTTTCTTCTTTACTGTTCTATAACTGCCTGAACATTTATTAGTTTAGCTTTATTATGCCTCCCTGCAAGAACATAACCTATCTGAGTGCAGGAAACTTCTGTCTTGTTCACCATTGACCTCTCAACACCTCATCAGTGCCTCGAAGAAATATATGCACAATAAATATTAGTTCCTTTAAATATCTAACTGAAGACCGGCAGAGCAACAAAAGCATTAGCTTCATTTGGTTTAGAAATAAAGCCAGAAAACCGGACTCCTCAAATCTCTACAACTCAGGACTAGCCGTGAGAGTGGGGCGCTCCGACCAGACCAGGCCAATGATAGCGCTCTTTCGGCCAAAGGAGCCATTCGGCCTCCCAACAGTCTTTTCACGGAAACCATGAACCTTGGGATTCTGGGGCTTAGAGGCCGGGAAGAAACTGAGCACAAGCCCAGACCTGCCGCTACCTTGAGGATCTCGCGGCCACCCACGGCCAGCGCCACATGCCGGCTCTGCAGGCCGCACTGGATATCCTGGGCGCGAGTGCCAGGCGGCACCTGAACTTCAATGAACACCTCCTCCAAGGTCTGGTACCACTGGCCCCACGGCGTCCCGCACGGAACCACCCCACTGCGCTCCTCAAACGGGGCCGACATACTCCAGTAGCCTCCCAGCTGCAGCCGCACGGAGCGAGACCAGCGCACGCGCGAAATCTCCACGCTCAGGCCACGCCCGGGACTCTCCGCTCAGGTCACTGCACATGCGCAGGGACGTAGGCTGATGTCTTAGCCTGTTCCTTTTTCCTTTTCAATGGCCATTTAGGGCCCTGGCAGTACCCCGTCTGAAAGAACTGAAATCCGGGAAAGTTTACACCCAAGGAAGGGTCGGAGGTTGGAACCAGTGAAACTAGAACTCACTGCACAGCCACCTATATGACGCCAAAAGCGGACTTTCCAAACTGCTCAGTTATGAAATGCGCTTGCGCAAATGTTGCTAGTATGTAAGCTACAATTGAGTAACGCCAGGAATGATTGGACACGGGGTGGAGGAGGAAGGAGGCAATAACAGTTTCCTATTGGCTGGTAACCTAAACGCAAAGAAGCCCTAATTGGACGCGTCGAGGTTAGGTGCGCATGCTCTTTAGATGTTCCCGTCCTGGATTGGTGTGCCCAGGATTTTGGTTTCAAATCTGCTGACGTTAGAGGTGGGCGGGGAATAAGCCGGGAGGTTTGAATTTGCAGTGAGTAGGCTGTAATAAGCGGCAGGAAGTTGGGAGGAGAGCTAGTGACCTTCAGTTTGTGGAGCTGGTCGTCAACATGTCTTTTCCTAAGGCGCCTCTGAAACGATTCAATGACCCTTCCGGTGCGTACGGGGAAAGGAGCTGGGGGTCGGGATATGTTGTCACGCATCTTGCCCCTTTTGGTTCGTTTCATCGGAGGCTAATAGGCAATTTTAGGGCTGCGATGGGTCTCATTCAATTGATTCGTTTTTCTAAAATCTATACTAAACATTTGCTACATTCCTAGTACTATTCAGAGTGATAAGGATACAGCAGTGAATGAAGCAAAGCCCCTGCCTCATGGAGTTTACATTCAACTGGAGAATGCAGCCAATAAACAGTACTGTGGAGAAACTAAAGCAGAGAGAAGGGAATCAGAACAAGGAAACTGTTAGTAGCTATTTGATGGTCGAGTGCGGAAGGCCTCACTGATAAAAAAAAAAAAAATTTGACCTGTGGCTTTTCGTATGAACTTGTGGTTTTCTTTTGGATATTCCATTCAGGAATAAAAGAAGGATGATTGCGGGGCGCCTGGGTGGTCAGTTGGTTAAGCGACTGCCTTCGGCTCAGGTCATGATCCTGGAGTCCTGGGATCGAGTCCCGCATCGGGCTCCCTGCTCGGCAGGGAGTCTACTTCGTCCTCTGACCCTATCCCCTCTCATGTGTTCTCTCTCTCTCATTCTCTCTCTCTCAAATAAATAAATAAAATCTTTAAAAAAAAAAAAAAAAGAAGGATGATTGGTAAAGGCAGTAAAGGAAAAGACCTGGAGCATGAAAATAACGTATACTACAGTTTCACAAAGGTCTAGTAGGTATACAGGCTGGATTTCAACCTAGTTCTTCAATCAAAATCCTAAATCTAACAACCAAATTTGATTCTTTAGTCTTTAAGGAAGTTTTTGTTAAGTATGGTTTTAATTGTTCTCAACTTTGATGATGCTGCTTTGTCACTGTCCACCATCCCATCATTTGCTGGCCCATATCCCATTTTGGGAGAGTGTAAACCTAATGATGAACCAGAATATAGGATTTCAACATCATTTTATTTTCTGGCTGTTCTGACAAGTCTAGACTGGCACTTCTCATGCTTTTCCACAGAAGCATTCCTAAAAGAAGAGAGCTGGGCGCCTGGCTGGCTCAGTAGGTAGAACATGTGAGTCTTGATCTCGGGATTGTGAGTTCAAGCCCCATGTTGGGCCTAGAGCTTAACTAACTAACTAACTAAATAAATAAATAAATAAATTGGGCCTAGAGCTTAACTAAATAACTAACTAACTAAATAAATAAATTGGGCCTAGAGCTTAACTATCTAAATAAATAAATAAATAAAAGGAGAGAGCACACAATAACCATAGGCTCTGCATACCCTCATCCTCTCTTCCCCGAAAAGACATAGCTAACAGTAATGGTGAAAGTCTCTCGTTTGCTTTGAAACATAAAATGTTCCCCACTGCCTGCCTCAGCCCCTATCCCAAATGAGTAAAATAGGTGCTCTAAGACGTGCCATTGTTAAGCTGATTTTAGGGAAACCTCGCCAGCCTCCTATTCACCCCAGGTTATAAACAGTTTGTAAAGTGAGAGATTTGAGCTAGCCAAGATTAATGTTTTTTGCTAAGTCTGCCTTTACCTTAGATACCCCACTGAATTCTGTATTTCAATTTGAAACTCTCTTCTGATTAGAAATCCACTATCTCAATTCTTTATTGACCATATTTAGGTCAAAAAGCTCCCAGGATTGGAATTTTTGTGTCATTATTTTTGTTATCATTATTCCAGGTAGAGGAATGGAAACTTCATTCCCTCCTTGATGTTTTTATAGCCTCTTAGAATTGATGAAAGGAGTGACTTTAATACTTTTAAATTGTGTCCCAGAATGAGGAATAAATTGTGTATCTCTCTATCCAGGATACATTTTTTTATATTTCTACAGCTATCACTGAAACAAAAAGTCTCACAAAACAGTGCTTAACTTTGCTACATTTGAGTCACACTGATATTTTCTATTGTGTTTCACTTTTTTTAATGCTAGTCAAGATGTACCAACAAGTTCTTATCTATCATTCCATTTAAAAAACACTTAAGGGATAGCCGGAGTTGCCTTGAAATGGTCAAACTCCTTGAAGTTCCTCTTTATTTGCATGAAACTCTATGCTGAAGTAAATAGCTTTTCAGAGAATAGTATGAATCTATTGATTCTCAGTCGGTTAAAGCTTTATGCTAATGATATTTTTACCCTTTTGTTTAAGTAGGCTTTATGCGCAGTGTGGGGCTTGAACTTATACCCTGAGATCGAGAGTCACAGGCTGTACCAACTGAGCCAGCCAGGCTCCCCTTATGCTAATGATTGTCCTGAGAATGAGATCTCAAGTCGACTATGCATAAACACTCTGAAGTGCCTTCAGTTTGAGACTCTAGTTAAGTGAGGTTATACTGTATAAATTTCTGGATCATAGAAATGTTGTCTAGTACAGGGGTGCCTGGGTGGCTCAGTCAGTTAAGTGGCTGCCTTCTGCTCAGGTCATGATCCCAGGGTCCTGGGGTCAAGCCCCTTGTCAGGGTCCCTGCTCAGCCTGGAGCCTGCTTCTTCCCCCTCTGCCTGCTGCTTCCCCTGCTTGTGCGTTCTCTCTCTCTCTCTGTCAAATAAATAAAATTTAAAAAATATATATTGTCTAGTACAGTTTGTAGTATGTATAACATGACTTTATAAATTTCCTGATATGTCAATATTAGCCAGAGATGAATTATCACTATAAATTTTTATTCCAGACTAAACCTTGAGGGCTAGACTTTTAGTTGCTTCATTTCTAGAATCTGATGGTAGTTACCTCAGTGACTCTCTTTGAGTAGAGTTGATTCCAAATATTTTTTTCTTATATTCAATCCTTAATACAAAGCCATGTTGCTTTTTTTAATGATGTTTATCTCAAGACAGTCTTCGCTGTTTTGTTCAGTTGCCTGTTTCTTTGACTCATTGAAATTAAGAGCATTTGGGGAAGATAATGGTGTTTTCCATAGAGAGGCCTGTTTTTGTACTATCAAATGGATGCTATTTTTACATTTGAAAAAAATAAACAATTTATTAATGGTATTTTGCATTTGTATTACTTTATTATGACATGTTTTTAACTTAAGATCATAAATTACATTAGATGAGACATTAATGTGCTATGTTTCCTTTAGGTTGTGCACCATCTCCAGGTGCTTATGATGTTAAAACGTCAGAAGTATTGAAAGGACCAGTATCCTTTCAGAAATCACAAAGATTTAAAAAACAAAAAGGTAATGGATTCCAAAATAAAATAATGGTTATGTGATTTCATAAGTTTTAAAGTTATGACTTAACAGCATTTAAATTAGAAGATTCTATACTATTTCTAAAAAGGTGAAGCTACAGTTATATTTAAATTTTCTTATTTGATGAATTTACAAATGAGTCAACTACAGAATAATGCTTTAATCATTTCACTATTGTATAACCAGAAAAATTAAGCAAGATACTCATGTAAATATATAGTTTCCCTTTTGGTAATTACCTTAACCTTCTGTCAGGGAATATCAAGAAAATCAGAAAAGTGTTGGATGTGAAAATACTGTTGTGCAACTAATTATTTGGACATGTACAATCAAGAAATGAACTTTATATTACTTCACTAATAATTACAATAAGAAATTTGGAAATTGGATTTTGTCTGTGTTTCAACATGTAAGCACCAACCAAGATCTGTACAATTTATTTTATTGTAGAATCTCAACAAAATCTTAATGTTGACAGAGATACTACCCTGCCTGCTTCAGCAAGAAAAGTTAAGACTTTGGGATTAAAGGTGAGGCACTCTGGGGGCGCCTGGGTGGCTCAGTTGGTTGGGCGACTGCCTTCGGCTCGGGTCATGATCCTGGAGTCCCTGGATCGAGTCCCGCATCGGGCTCCCTGCTCGGCAGGGAGTCTGCTTCTCCCTCTGACCCTCCCAACCCTACCCCCTCTCATGTGCTCTCTCTCTCTCAGTCTCTCTCTCTCAAATAAATAAATAAAAATCTTTAAAAAAAATAAAAAATAAAAAATAAATAAAGGTGAGGCACTCTGATATTCTAGCTGGTTTATCACCTAAATCATGAAAACATTTCTGAAAAGTATTTTATTTGATTAGAATGGATTAAGTGTATAAAGTAAGGTTATAAGTAAACCTATAAATTAATAAAAAATATTATCATTAGGACTCTACCAAGATTTATATTTCTGCCTGTGTCATTACTAAATATATTGTTTAAACGTGCCCATAGTTCAGAATTACAAAATAGTCTCCACTTCTCAGTCATTTCTCAATCTAAATTGTCTAACACCTTGTAAGCCTTTAAAAAGTATGCAATGCTTTGATTTGGTAGTTAATATCATTTGAGTTGTTTTGGTTTTGTTTGTTTGTTTGTGCAGAAGGGTAAGTATTGGTGAAGAAAAAGGAAAAAAAAAAACATTCTAAGGCCTAAAAGAGATGTGCTGCTCAAAAACTATCAAAGAGTGGTGGGAGATTAAATTCTTAACTTCATGTTATGGCTTGTGCAACAGCCTAAGTGTTATTAGTGTTTCCATTAGTTCATAAAGCAAGTTGTAGTTTCTTAAGAGATTTCAAAAAGAGATTTGTTAATATGGAAGAGATTGAGAGTTAGGAAACCAAGGCTGTAGGGTAAGCTTAGACTTGTTCATTTGTTAAGCAATTACCTAAGTCTCTTGTTTTATAATGTAGGGCTTCATTATCCAATATGGAAGTGATTAGCCACATGTGGCTGTTGAGCACTTGAAGAGCTAAATTTTTATTATTATTTAATTTTGATTAATATATATTTAAAAACTGATACTTGATTCTGTTGTTGGAAAACGCAAATGTTTTTTGGAACATATTGGGTATGTGAATCTACTTCTTGATGTGTACATTTTATGAAATCTAAATATAGCGCTCTCTCTTTTAGTCAGTGGGGAATCTGCTTCTCCCTCTCCCTCTCCCTCCACCCCTCCCCTTCTCATGCTCTCTCGCTTGCTCTCCCTGTCTCTCTCAAATAAATAAAGTCTTTAAAAAAAAAAAAGTATGTATGTGGTTTGTAATGAATTATTATTGGGCAGCACTGATATAGACAGTCTTTTCTTACACATTGATTTAAACATATATACAATGGGATATTCTTCAGCCATAAAAAGGAATGAAATCCTGCTGTTTGCAATAACATGGATGGACCTAGAGAGAATAATGCTAAGTGAAATAAGACAGTTAGAGAAGGATAAATACCATATGATTTCACTCATATGTGGAATTTAAAAAACAAATGAGTAAAGGGGGGAAAAAAAGAGAGACAAACCAAGAAATGGTCTCTTAACTCTAAAGAACAAACTTATGGTTACCAGAGAGGAGGAGGATAGGAGGATGGGTGAAATAGGTGATGGGGATTAAGGAGTGCTCTTGTCTTGAACACCTGGTGATGTATGGAAGTGTTGAATCACTATATTGTACACCTGACACTAATATTACACTGTATATTAACTATACTGGAATTAAAATTTAAAAAAATAAAATAATTTTTTAAAAGTTGCTTTAAATTTCTTAATTTGAATTTCTTGAAGAAACAGTTCTGAGATTTTGAATTAATTACAGAACTCTTAGAAAACTTACATACAGGCTTGTGTAAAACCCCTAATTAATAGACCTTCCTTGATAGAAAATGCCATCATATGGAAAATTAATAAATATGAAACTGATAAAGCCCCCCCCCCAACTTAGAAGCACATAAAGCAGGTTGTGTTCAATATGTTTATCCATTTTCTTCCATTTTAGATGGAAAAGATAGATATTCTGTTTAGGGCCATTGTGTCAGAAAAGCTGTTGGATATAAAAATACATCGAACAAAAATTATATGTCTTATTTAGAATAAAGGCAAAAGTAGATTAGAACCAGCTTACACGGGACACCTGGGTGGCTCAGTTGGTTAAACATCTGCCTTCAGCTCAGATCTAGGTTCCGGGATCCACCCCAACATCTGGCTCAGCGAGAGTCTGCTTCTCCCTCTGACTTCCCCCCTCTTGTGCACTCTCTCTCTCTGAAATGAATAAATAAAATCTTAAAAAAAAAAAAAGTATCAGCTTACCCCATTTTAATTTTTATGTCTTTGCATGTGTAGTTTTTTTTTCCTCTTTGGGTATCAAGGTTTAAGTTTATTACTCTTTGTAAGATTCTTTTCTTTCTGGGATAGCATAATTAAATATTCAAAATGTATTGATGTTTACATTAGAAAGAAGGCATTCAGCAGCTTTATTCATGAAGCTCCACCTGTTCTTTTCCCTGGACTTATTAGGAAAATCCTAATAATCTATTAGGGTGAAAACTTAAACCTGAAATATTTTAAGATTTAAAGAACCTTTTCCTTCTTTTACCAGACAAGTCTCCTACAAAATGTTTAATATGCTCAGTGAAATGTTTAAAATAGAAATTAACTGTTTGATGAGGACCTCCCCTCTACTTGCTAGATAGGATGCTGCCTGATTCATGAATTGCTTAATGAAGCCAATTAGATCTTTAAGGAAAAAAAAGAAAGGAGTGCCTGGCCGATCCAGTCAATAAAGCCTGTGAATCTTGATCTTGGGGTTGTGAGTTCAAGCTGCACACTGGGGGGTAGAGTTTACTTAAAAAAAAAAAAAAAAGAAAAGAAAGAGAAATTAAAGTGTTTAATCTTTTTTTTATAACTGAAAATCCAATCTGTGATATTTGTGGCACTTAAATTTGCTTATCTCTGTTCTTTGACTTTTAAATAGAAGGAATCTCAAAAGAATGATAAAGATTTGAAGATACTAGAAAAAGAGGTAAGCAATGCTTTCAACTTAATTGAAAAACAAATGTGCTATAAAATGGAAAGAGTTGGGACGCCTGGTGGTTCAGTTGGATAAGCATCTGCATTCCGCTCATGTCATGATCCCAGGGTCCTGGGATGGAGTCCTGCATTGGGCTCCTTGCTCAGCGGGGCGCCTGCTTCTCCCCCTGCCTGCCGCTCCCCCTGCTTGTGCACTATCTCTCTCTCTGACAAATAAATAAATAAAATCTTTAAAAATAATAAAATAAAATGGAAAGAGTTACTTAGAGTTAAGAGACAGGGATTCTGTTGTGCAGTTTGGCGAGTTCTGTAGCAGATGGGCAAGGCCTACCATCAGGACCAATGCCTGCCAGTTAACTGTTGTTCCTTAGCTTCCTTAGATACCATGTTTCAGAGCCTGGTTGTCCATGTGGTATGCTGGCAACGTCAAGTTTGTTGGGGCACCTGGGTGGCTCAGTCGTTAAGCGTCTGCCTTCAGCTCAGGTCATGATCCCAGAGTCCTGGGATCGAGCCCCGCATCGGGCTCCCTGCTCCGTGGGAAGCCTGCTTCTCCCTCTCCCACTCCCTCTGCTTGTGTTCCCTCTCTCGCTGTTTCTCTCTCTGTCAAATAAATAAATAAAATCTTAAAAAAAAAAATCAAGTTAGCATACTAAGGGACAGATTCAAGATAACCCACTTCAATGAAAAATTGATAACTAAAAATTACTGCATTGATTTATCACAATTATGCATGGGTCAGATATTTATATTTACTCAGCGCACACTCTTCCTGTATGCTAATCTATATGTTAAGACAGTGACTAGCTAGAGAATTTCTTAATGAGCATGAAATCCTAGCAGGTTAGTTGAACTATGAAAAAGTTGTGCTAACCTGACACATCCTCAGCACTGTAGGTATATATATGTCTTATTCAAGGATAAAATGGAGCTGGAGGGTGAACCTGGAACTGTCCTGTCCAATGGTAGCCACTCACCACTTGAGACTTCTTAAATTAAGTAAAATAAGAACTCAATTTTTTTATCACACTAGTCACATTTTTAAATGCGCAGTAGGCACTGCAGTGAGTGGTTCCCGTACTAGACAGTACATTTCTACCATGGCAGAAGTCTCTACCGAGCAGAGGTGACCTGAAGAACCCACTTACTGGGGAGCCTGGGTGGCTCAGTTAGTTGAGCATCCGACTCTTGATTTTGGCTCAGGTCGTGATCTAGGGGTCATGGGATTGAGCCCCAGGTTGGGCTCTGCGCTCGGTGTGGAGTCTGCTTGGGATTCTCTCTTTCTGCCCTTCCGCCCCGCTCTCTCGCTCTATATATATAAAATAAAATCTTAAAAAAAAAAAAAAAACCCACTTACTTCCCTAAGCAGGGGTAAGATAGTCACTGCCAGCTTTGCTTTTCTGGCAGTCTTTTTTTTGTATGTTTCCATTGCTCACCAACTCTTTTTAGTGCATATATTCTTTTGACATATTACAACTTTCATTGATTATAGTTAAATGTTGGCTTAGGACCAAGAATATGTCAAGTTAACTTTGCAAATCTCTGCCCTGGTTGCTCTGATTCTTTTAGTATTTAGTTATATTGGTCATCATTTTATTGAGGACACACGCCTACAATATAGGCGTTGATACTTAGAGATGTGATAGCTGAGTCTCAGAGAGATAGCTGGTGAGTGAGTGGCAGTGCCAAGATTAGAACTGGTAATTTGTGTCAATTTCTTAATCTTTTGGAATAGAGATTTTAGACAAATACAGCTCTATTTTATTTAAACCCCACAGTATTTGTAGTTTGTTTAATTTGAATTAATTATCAACATGTAAAAGTAGAATTTCATGCAAAACAAATTCAGATTTCTGGCCTATGTAGTGAAATCAGAAGATCTGACAATCCTCTAACAGATTTTTAAGACCTATCATAAATATGACTGTTGAAACAGCTAGTAAAATCGGAATATCTAAGAGCATCATGTCACAGAGGTTTTTCTAGAACTTTAATGTTTCATTATCAATAGCATATAGTTTCATTGGCACTGTATTGGTGATTCATTCATTTATCACCTTGTTTCTGTCCAGATTCGTGTTCTTCTGCAGGAACGTGGTGCTCAGGACAAGCAGATCCAGGATCTGGAAGCTGAGTTGGAGAAAATGGAGGCCAAGCTAAATGCTACAGTCAGGGAGAAAACATCTCTCTCTGCAAGTAATGCTTCACTAGAAAAACAGCTTATTGAGTTAACCAGGACTAATGAGCTACTAAAATCAAAGGTATTTGAACCTGATAATAATACTTACAATTGAATAAATTAAAAACATGTTTTATTTTCCTATATAGTTGTTTGGGAATTTTAGGCTCTAGTTTAGTCTTTTTCCTTCACCAAATGTACCTTAAATGTTAAGCTGCTTCCAAAAAGAATTATTATCTTTTTTATTATGGTACCTTTTTTATTATGGTACCTTTTTTATTATGGTATAAGAGGGGATAAACAAACAAGTTGCTTTTGTTTTAATGTCTGATATTTTGTCACCCTTCTTCAGAGTTACCCCCAATAAATAAGGCCATTAATAAAACTTGCAAAATTTACACCTAGAGGTCACTTTAAAGATCTTTCTCTGAAATAAATAATAGCATAACAGCAGGCTTCCATCTCAAATCCTTTTGGAAATGAAGTGGGAAATGAATAAATTTGTGGACTAAATATGTTTAATAGATAAATTTTGTTTATTAATATTAATATACTAATAGATCTTAAAGAACATAACATGGTCATCTGCTTTTGTCTGAAGTAGGAGGAGGCTGTAAATCACTGTTCAGTTCAATAACAGTCACTTATTCAGGGCCTGTAATGTGCTGAGCTCTTTGATTACAAAGGGAGCGAGGGTGCATAAGAATCAAGCTTGGGGCAGGGAGCAGATTCCTGGGTCCCACTGAGGGAGATTCTGATTTGGTAGGCCTGGGATGGACCCTGTAGCCTACATATTTCCAAAGAGATCAGGCAATTCAGATGCATTTTGCTAAGCAAGCACACTTGACAGAATCCTCCCCAAGAGGTTTGTTATAGAGGCTTGCAGTGGACTCTTCAGCATGCAGAGGTAGGTGACCACCCAAGCTGCTCTCAAAAATAAACCAGAAAAGGGCACCTGGCTGGCTCAATCTGTAGAGCATGCAACTCCAGATCTCAGGGTTGTGAGTTCAAGCCCCACATTGGGTGGAGATTACTTAAAAATAAAACCTTCCCCAAAAATTAAATAAATAAACCAGAAAGTCATATTAATCAAGAAGAGGGACAAGAATAGTAATAGCATAAAATCAGTAATTCTGGTGTGGTCAAAGCCTATTTTCTCTACCAGAGTATAATGTAAGTAAATAATAGTTCCAGTAAAAGAATAATCAATATTTCTGTGATTTTTATGTAGGACCTAGTAGAAAATATTTCTAAATTTTTTATGTTTCTTGTACTTAGTTTTCTGAAGATAGTAACCAGAAGACTATGAGAATTCTAAGCCTCGAGTTAATGAAACTTAGAAACAAAAGAGAAACAAAGATGAGGGTGAGTGATATCTTTGGTGAGTTTGCTGTGTCTGGATCTGGCGATCTGAACAATCTCTCATTTCCTAAAACAGATATTTCTGTTGTGTAGAGTATGATGGCTAAACAGGATGGCATGGAGGTGAAGCTGCAGGTCACTCAGAAGAATCTTGAGGAGTCTCAGGGGAAAATAGCACAACTTGAGGGGAAACTGTGAGTGACTAAAAAAGAAATTATTAAGTGTAACTAATTCTTGATTTACCTCTCACCTTGCTCTTGTTTACTGAGACTGAACCTTCCTTCGCTTATGTCATTGATCCCTGCTTGCCCTATTTCTCTTCTTCAACGGAGCCCTGATGATTCCCAAACATTTTATGCTGAAAAGATGTATGAATGTTTTAATTTTGTCCATCTTCTGTATAAATGATGAGGAAAGGCTTCATAATCTTTGTAGTAGCACCATCTTATGGAGATGGTAGACCAAAATAGAGGAATATTGGTATAGGAAGCTGTGATTAATGCAAATCCTAGCCTTCTTTTTATTACTGAGCTGTAACTTACCTACAAAAAAATATACTGAGCGTAAGTATTCAGTTTGATAACTTTTGACAATTGTAATCACCTCTGTAATCACCACCCAAACAAGATAGAGAACATTGCCATCCTTCCAGAAAATTCCTTCCTGCCCCTTCCTGCTCCCCTGCCCTTCCCCATTGTGATGTCCCCCAACCCCTGAAGCCACTTTCTGACTTCCATCATCATAATTAGTTCGGCCTTTTGGGGGGATGGTTATCACAGTATGTGCGTGTATGTCTTCTTTTGTTTAACATAATGTTTTGAGATTCATCTAAGCTGTTGTATTATAATTTGTTCCTCTATTTCTGAGTAGTATTCCACTACTTGAATTTAGCTCCATTTGTTTACTATTTCTCTGTTGATCATCATTTGGGTTTTCAGTTTCTGACTGTTGTGAATAAGACTGCTATGCATGTCTTTTTCTGGACATAAGTTTTTATTTCTCTTGAATTAACATCTAGGATTAGAATTCCTGGATCATAGGGTAGTGTAGTATATGTATAATGTGTTAAAAACTCAAAAGTGGTTGTCGCACTTTACAGTCGCACTTAGCAGCGTATGATAGTTCCAGTTGTTCCACTTCCTCTCCAAGGTTTGATATTGTCAGTCTATTTGATTTTGGCCCTTCTAGTAGGTAGGAAGTAGTGTCTCATTTGTCATTTTGTTAGTATAAGGGTCAAGCTTCTCTTTCTGTGCTCGCTGACCATTCATATAAATCCTTTTATAAGGCGTCTATTTAAGTTTTTTGCTCATTGTTTGAATTGTTTGGAGGAGGTAAACACATGAGTAATTAGAAGAAAGGCAACCTAAAACAGAGGCTTTATAGCAACAAAATGCTATTTTGTATGTGCGGTGGGTAGGGAAGCCAGGAAAGCTACAAGAAAGATCATTTCTAACACTCAGGATTTTATAGGTGATAATTCTCATCATCATAACCCTTTTATCAGAATTTATTTGGAAAGCTTAAAAAAAAAACAAAACTTCAGTTTCCTATTTGTATATTTTAAATTGTCAATTTGAGAGGTCACATAAAATGATGGTTAAGAATTTGGATGCTACGGTAGAGCATGCGACTCTTGATCTCAAGGTTGTAAGTTCGAGCCCCACATTGGGTGTAGAGATTATTTAAAAATAAAATCTTCAAAACACACACACACTAAAAAAAAAGAAGAATTTGGACTCTAGAGACAGCCTATCTGATACGGCATTATTTGGTACAGATTAAGCATTATGTGTGACTATTGTACATATTCATATATGCCATTTTTTTCAGTGTTTCGATAGAGAAGGAAAAGATTGATGAAAAATCCGAAACAGAAAAACTCTTAGAATACATCGAAGAAATTAGGTAATATGAATAGTAGTTTCTAATTGGACCTTATTTTGTTGAATAGTGATGAATACATCATTTCATCCTTTTTCATTTAATTTTCTCTGTGCCTAAATTATGTGCTCTTCAAAATAATTTGTTTTAATGCAGTTGTGCATCAGATCAAGTGGAAAAATACAAGCTAGATATTGCCCAGTTAGAAGAAAATTTGAAAGAAAAGAATCATGAAGTTGTAAGCCTTAAGCAGTCTCTGGAGGAAAATGTTTTACTTTCTAAACAAGTAGAAGACCTGAATGCTAAGTGTCAGCTGCTCGAAAAAGAAAAAG